TTCAAGTGCACATCCCTGTGCACAGGACACCTTGCAATCCTGCCCCAGGTGGAGACTTTCCTCTGGTTCATCCGTGACCACAAAATACACCTCAAGAGCAGTTTTCGCTTCCTGGAGCTTGTCTCTGAACTCGGAGACCCCATGCTGGGGTCTGGCCTCTGCTCACCACTCCCACAGCCTTATCCAGCCCATCACCCAGTTTCACTTACAGGTATGTCCAGCTGAAGGATGTGTGTGTCCCTGCCTCGCCTGAGGGGATTTGTTCTCCACTGGTTTCAACTGGGACCCTCCCTTTCCTCACACTCTCCACCGACAGCCTTCTTATCCCCACACACTTTCTTTGTACTTGTCCTTTAGGTCTCATAGTACCCTTACTGTCATCTTCCCCACAGGCTTGCTACTCCTAGACTGTAAAATACTCAGGGCAAGGGCTGGGAGTTTTGTATCCTAGTCTCCCCATTTCTAACAAGGCGCCTTTCAGAAAGTAGATGATTAATTAACATCTGAAGAATGAGCCAGTGTGCATGAGTTCACAAAAGTTTTATTTTTCCTATATGCTTGAATAAGTTAAGCAAACTCAGGTATGCAGCTTTTATTTTTACCAAACAACAGACTAGGATGGATATGAGAAACCAAAACCTGAGCATTCTCTAACATTTGTCTTTGTTTCTCAACCCAGCTATTTTACTGCTAAATTCTTTCACATTTCCAAGGAAGTGCCCTTCTAATGCCATGTTCTCTTATTCTGGATCACTAAATATGCAGGAACATATCCCAATTTGATTTAAAACAATAAAACTCCTACTCCTATTAAACGTTCTACTAAAAGGACCTGCATTTGAAATAAAATAAAAGGAACAAGGAAAGAGGGGCAGGTCTCCCAGTTACCCAGGTGAAGAGGAACACAATGATTTTATGTGGTGTGTGTTTCCTCTAGTCCCAACCTGGCCTTCCACTCCTTACAATCTTGACCATTCTTCTTTTACATAAAGAAAAGACTGTGCCTCAAACATCAAAATCTGAAATTTAAACTTATAAAAGAAAAGAAATAACAAAAGCAAGGAGAGAAGAAAGAAAGGAGAAAGAAAGGTAAAACTCCAGTTTGCCCCTCTAGAGGGGGAATAAATACAAAGATAATATATATTGTATTTTCTCCAACCCTAACCATGGCCCTCCACTATTAGAATGCTGGCAATCTTTTAACAAAAGTATAAAGCATATTCTTTAGACTTTAATTGGGACAGGAGGAGCTGCTGGACGTGGCCCTGGAACGTGCATTTGCTGTGGCACTAATTTGAGCCCTGGCTTCAACTCTGGCTCGAGCTCTCTCTTCCTCATCCTTCACAGCCTCTTCA